CTGCCATGTCCATGTGGAAATACCATTGGAATAACTCCAATAATCAAAGTTCAGGGCCTTAAAGACTGAGTTTGGATTTCAGGGGTAAGTGCAAGTCCATCTCTTTTGTTTCTTGTAATTTTTCCAGGCCCCAAGAGTGCTGAGGAATCAGAAAAACTAGATGCAGTGGAACCAGGTAGAGCCTGTTCATTTACCTCCAGGGGTGGTCCGGCACTACTTTTCAGGACCCCTTTCCAAAGGCTGCTGCTGAGTTTCTTTAGGATTCTTGATGAGAACAGCTGGTTCTCATCAAGATGATTTTTAGAAGAGAAATGGGGTAATCTGCAAGAGAAGTGGGGTAATCTGCAAGATAAGTGGCCGTTAACCTTGAGGTGTATCCCAGGCACAGCACTCACAAATATTTGGAGACCTGGTAGCTCTAGTTGGAAAGAACTCAGTACAAAAATTGATAACTGTTAAAAATGTGTGAACAGAGACAATATATGGATAAAAGGAGGTGAGAGATGGATCTACACTGATGCCTCATTGGAGACAATTCTCCCTTAAGATGAGGTAGCTCCTTCTGGAACCTAACAGCCATATATAGAAAGAGGTAGAGGCTTTTCTTGGTTTCAGAAAAGGAGTTGAGCAGGATGGTCCTGAGAATGGTTTTCATGTAAACTGAGGAACAATGTTGTATTCCTCTGAACAGAAAAATCAATTGGGCACGTAAACTGGCATATTGTATGTATATTTCAGGTCCTAAGAATTGCAAGGACATTTGGAACAACAAGGGGAGTCCCCAGAGTGTCCTCATTTTATTTGGCAAACAGCAGGCTTAGGTAAATCTCATTCTATTCAATGTCTACAATCATTGAAAAAGAAAATTATATATATATATATATATATATATATACTTTGTAAAAAATCTATTTCTAATATATCTTCACCATCCTTACCAGCATTATAACTTTATTTTGGAAAACTACCTCATATGTGTGACATATTGTGACAGTGACTTGTACTACCTAAACCTCCCTCTGGAAGCTGAAGGAGTCCACTGAAATCTGTCCAGGTTTTCTTCTAGACAAGGGCGAATCTTTTGTTTAAAGTGACCAATTAAATTCTCTCTTGAGACCTTAGATACTGAGTACAGGGAGATGAGAAAGACGATTAGAGACTCAACCTTTCTGATTTCAGCAACTGAGCAGCTGTTGTAGCCAATGCCTTCGACCTCTGGGGTAGCTCTCACTTCAAATTGTTTGAATGAATTCACTTGTGGATGGATGTAGTGGTGCACAGCTGTAACCCAGTACCTAGGAGTCCAAGGCAGGACAACTGCCAGGAGTTTGAGGCCAGCCTGGGAGACATAGTTCAAGACTGAACTACATGGCAAGACTGTCTCAAAACAAAAACAAAGACAAAAAACAAAAACAAACCAAATCAGTCAATCAGCTGATCCATAACGAAGCAACTATCACACAGACATTTTCACTGATACAAACTTAAAAAAGATTGTCAATATGAAAAAAAGAAATCAGTTATGAGCTAAAAGTGATTGGCATTTTTTTTTCAGTACTGAGGATCAAACTCACAACCTCACGCTTGCCAGGCAGATACTTATGTCACTGAGCTAAATCCCCAGCCCTTGATTGGTATGTTTTTAAAGATATTTTCTTAAGGAAGGAAAATTCCTAAAATCCATAAAACTCTAGTAAGGACTCAAAATAAGAGTATATTCTATGATATAAGATACAAAAATCAAAATATAATAATGGGCTGTAAAGAAAGAATAACTGACAGTTATAAGACTCCAACCTGGCCTGACTCTCCCAGGCCTCAGCCTGCTTGCCAGCAGAAGCTCTACTCTGCTGGGAACTCAGCTTGGCATTGGAAGCTGTCATCAGCAAACACAGGATAGTACATAAAAGTGGACAGAGAAGACTGCAGGTCCTGGAGACACATGGAGACACCCAAATATTTACATTTACAATGGACACTTAAAGGGATTCTGCCCATTGAGGCACAAGGTTACCAGAAAACTTTTATCACAGATGTTCATTGAGATCTTCCTGCCTAATGTCTCCAGCGTTCTCTCAATTTCTTTAAAAGGGACACACTTCTCTTTGTTCAGAGAAGTTCTCGTCATGCTCTCTGCCTGAACCCACGCACAATAAATTCCATACCATATTGCCATTACACAAGCCTGGTGGTCTCCTTTGCTTATCTATTTTAAGCAGTATTTTTAAAAGTTTTCACTTGACAAGTAATGTGATAGCAAATTAATGAAGACCAGAAATAATAAATATCAGAATGAATATCGCTCAAAAATAGTGTATATACATCAATGTTCTTGAAACTTTTTAAATTTTAAAAACAATAAAATCTAACAAAACACAGCAAAGCCAATCAAAACAAAGCAGCAAAATTGGTACAGAACTTCAAAGCAGTATACTAGGAAAATAAAAGTAGCCATCAATAGTTTATCTTGCTATCTTCACAACAGTTGTCCATTTCATCAGGTATAGCAAAATCAAACCAAAACAAAATAGAATGAAACCAATCAAAACAGAACATTGAATAAAGCAAAACAATCAGAACAAAACAAAGCAGTGAGAACAATATTGGATTTCACAGATAAGATATAAGGAAATCTCTCATATTTGCTATATTGCATACTGTTATCCTCCCAATAGATGCTCAGACTACTCAGATTTTGTTGGCCCTAGGCCTGCAAAATCAGCCAAATAGTACAAGTATTTACTTGCTTTTTGTACCTTAGGTGCTATCAACTCAGTCTGTCCTCTGAACCAGTTGGTTGTTTATGGGGGTGGATGGGTGTTGATTCTCAGCCTACACACTAGTAGGCTCATGAGAGGCGCTATTTGACTTTTTTCTTCCTGGGTCCTGCATGGCTTGTTTGGCTTACCAGAAAGGCTAGCTAGTTAGCTTGTTGGTGGTCTCCTTCCGGTCCCAGCATGGCTGATTCTCAGGAGGTGCTAACTTTTCTCTTCCTGTGGCTTGCGCAGTTTACCAGAAGACTGGTTAGTGGGCTTCTTGATGGTCTTCTCCTCTTGAAACTCTTTTGATTGTGTATTATGCAAAAGAATTTTTGAAAACTTTAGATACCTCTTTCACCAGTTTTAACTTGACAATGAAAGGGTTTTTTAAATCAAAATATCAATAACTTGTTTTGTAAATAAAACATTAAGCATTTTATGAAGTGAAATAAAATGAGGAATAACCATTAAAATAGATATTTCATGCCACAATTTGACTTCAACAAAATTTATAACCACTTTGTTGTGTAATTCATACCAAATTTAGAAGTAATCACATAACTTTTGTCTGTGGATTTTACCACATAAAGCTGGTGTTTTGGGAAAATATTCCAGCTTCATTTGGGCTGACTAGTTTCTAAAGTACCTACTTCTGTTGTTCTGAAATCAGAACATTCCCACTCTGGCCAATGCTGTCCTATAGCAAAAACACAGCAAACAAGGAAAGGTAAGATGAAGTTGTTAATCATTCACTGGTTATCTGAACATCGATATCTGGAATTATGTCTTTATTGACAATCAGCAAATGTTTAGACTTCAAGCTTTGGCCCAAATGCATCTCTCTCTTAAAGTGGCAAGAAGGATGTTGTGAGCATAGGCACATTTTTAGGAAATTTTAGGAAATAAGTTGAGGCTGGTGGAAGTTGACATTGCAAAGTAACTGTGTCTCTTTCCATTAAGAAGTCCGCACAGAGGCAAGAGAAAGGTCCAGACATAGAGGTGAGCAGTACAAAGATGGTCCTACAGACCAGGAACTAGAAGAAAGATTCTTAATAAAGGAAACAGAGCAAACTGAGAACCACTAACTAAAAATTTAAAGAAATTTTATGACCAGGAGATGAAAAGCAAATTACCCAAGATATTCAGGGCAATACTATTTGAGGGCAATCAACTCTTGGAACACCTCGGTGAAGGGAGGCAATGCCAGAGAAAGAGATGCTCCTATAGCACCTATCTGAATGTATTTCAACTAAAATTAGTTGGTCGACCAAATTTCCTCATCATATTACACATCGGAAGAGAGGGAAGTTAGTACGTCCCTCAGAAAAACTGTGAAACCAAGATTCTGTTCTCAGCTAAGATATTTTAATACCTTATTGAGATAATTTAGTGTTACAAAAACTTCTCAGATATTCTGGGACTCAGGGTATTATGTAAGTACTGTTCTGAAATAATCTTTGAAACTCTCTTTGAATTGTTTCCAGATGAAGGGGTAGGGATGACTGGGAGTGGGGCAGAGCCAGCCTAAGGTCAGGAAGTGGCATCCAAGGGACAAACTTAAGGAGGCACTCACTCTCAGGGGCATGAGCCTGAGGGGAGTGGACCTCCTTAATTCTGTCCTCCCCTGTGCCAGCCCTTGAATTACGTACAATGAGACTTAGATCTAAGAGTGTGAATATCATAATTCTTATGTGGTAGGTTTGAAGTGCAAAATGTACATAGTCACCACAAAAGGCTAGAGAAAAATTTGCAGAAATGGAAGAGGACCCAAAAGCTCTGTAGCTGGCAAGGGGTGGAACACGTCCTGGCATGCCAGTTCCCTGGGTATCCATAAAGCAAAGGTCAGCAGCTGCTTTTCTGTTGCATGCGATTCACTAGGGAAAGAAAACAATAATTGGAGGGCACAGTGAAAGGTAATCTGTCCTCATAAGTGGGCTTAGAAAATAAATCGTTCCTTAAACTTTAACCTCTTTCGTAATTAAATGAAAACAAATGAAAATAAATTAGATATTCAAAACGGAACACACAAGAAATAAAACAAAGGGAAATAGGTGGTTTTATCTTTTAGCGAGATGAATAATAAAATTAAGAAATTGCACAATAAAAAGATAAACTATCTTTAAAATAAATAAATTACTGAGTGGCCTGAAGAAACACAAAGAAAACACACCATGTCAGAAGTAAAAAAGAAATCAAGGCCTCAGACACAGATAAATTAAAATATTCTGAAAAGTTACAGCATTGAATATTTTGCAAATATATTTTATATTATGCATAAAATAGATAATCCTCCAAAATAACATAGTGTCAAATTCAATTGAAGAACCCCTTAACATGCAAATAACTATGAAGGAAATTGAGAAAGTTGTCTAAGAACACTCTTCAAATGACTTTAATCCTACACAGATTGTTTTAAATCAATGTTTGTTTCATGTTTTTAAAGTAGTTGGCATTGAATCTCAGGCTTTATATGTGCAAGTGAAGCACGTTCTAGCATTGAACTATACCCCAGCCCATTCTGCATTTTATTTTGAGACAGATCTCTCTAACTTGCACAGTCTGGCCTAAAACTTGCAAATTTTTTGCCTCACATTCCAGGGTAGCTGGGATTCTGTGGGCATGCCACCAGATCTGTAAGCCTACATAGTTTTATAAATCAATACTTTGCAGTCTTCAGATAACGATAGCATCAAACACTTCCATTTCAGCTGATTTTCGTCTGATCCTTCAGGAATAAGCAAAGTTTTTCTTTCTTGTTGTGACATTGACATCAGCTTCATGTATATCTTGACACAGAAAACATATACATGTATCCAGAGCCACCTTCATACAGCCACCCAGCAGCCTAAGTCCTGAATAAACTATTAGAAGATCAAATTCCATCATACAACAAAAAGTGCTCAAAAATATTGCTCAGCTCTCAGGAATATTACAAATTCACAATATAATACAAACAGTGAATACGAAACAGCAGATGACCTCACTCTTAAACAGATAACAACAAACTATTTGAGAAAAGTGAACTAATTTAAATGACAATTGATTAAAACAGGGAGATGGGTTATAGATTCTTTTTTTTTACTTTCATCATCATCATCATCATCATCATCATTATCATCATCTTCTTCATCATGTGCAGTAGTGGGTATTGAACCTAGGGCCTTGGCACTGAGCTACATCCCCAGCCAATTTACCTAGAAATGTCTCGAATTTATTCTTCTTTATGGCAGAGTAGTACCCCATTATATAAAAAAAAACCCACGTCTGCTTTATCCATACCTCGGATAATGGGCATTTGGGTTGTATCCAAGATTTAGCTATTACAAACTGTGCTGCTATAAACATGGGTACACAAATGGGCACAACTTGAGGCCATACTCTTTTAAGGGAAATAAATCGGACTCACATGTGTAATTATTGCATTTCAGTGAGAAACTGAAGGAATAAATAAAGACAATGGATAGTGTATACAATAGATACTGTGAAATGGGAAGAAATTGTTCAAAAGGAAAAAGGAACTAGGATGGGAGAAGGAAAAGAAGGAAAGCAAAAGGAAAACATGATTAAAAAGGATACAATGGGAACAAAGCTTTGTAAATAGGGAGAAGAGGGGCTGAAGGGAGGAGAAGGGATTGGGGAAAAGGAATCAAAATATAACATGTATAGGTACAGATTCCCTATGATGAATATGACCATTATGTATACCTAAAATGTACCAACAAATTTAATTATAAACAATTACTACAGTAAATGTCACATTGTCATTCATCTCTTAAAATACTCCCACTCATTTTGAACACGTATCCCATTATTACTGCCACAAAAAAAAAAAAAAAAATTATGAGTCACAGTTCTTCTTCAAACCATCACAGAGGGAAAGATATCCTAAGAGGCTTAATATGCTATCTGTTAAGATACATTTGGGAAATGTTGAGCTCCTGTGGTTCTTAGCTCCATGACAACTACAGTTCCAGTGTCATAGTTTCTTGGAATTCTGAGCTCCTTCATTTTGCATTTTAGGAACTCCATCATTGGTTCCAAAGCTGATAACACAGATTATGCTGCTGCTACTTTCCCACCTGTGCAGAAGCTGGAAGGACAGAAATCATTACTTTGATTTTTAATAGAGTAGATTGGTTTTGTCTGTTTTGAAGCATTCTGTTATGTACTGGGAGCCAGGGATTTAGTTCAGTGGTATAAGTGCCTCCCTGGTGAGCGCAAGATCATGAGGTCAACCCCAGCCCTAAGAGAGAGAGAGAGAGAGAGAGAGAGAGAGAGAAAGAGAGAATCTGCTAGGTACTGGTTCTGTTGATTCTCATTGCTGCAGAAATATGCCAGAATTACTTACTCATTCATCCCTTAGAATTGATGTTACCAGTTTGGTGTACTTAAATGTAATGTTCCTATAGACATTATTTGTGCACGTTCTTATGTACGTATATACTTGTCAGTGAAATGCCTCAGTCACTGAAATCTCCAGTCAGCTGTAGGAAACACTGACAAGCAGCTTTCCAAAGGTTTGATTATACTCACATTCACAGTGTGCAAAATTTCACTTGCTCTATACCTTGCCAATATTTTCTACTTTCTATTTTCTTTCATTTTTATCCTTTTGGTTAAGTGTGTAGCGATATCTCACTGTGGCTTTGATTTTCATTTTTGTAATGACTAATGAAGCTGAAATATTTTAGTATTTATGAGCCACTTACAATTTGCTTTTGTAAAAAAAAGATTTTCTTTTGTGAAACCCCAGTTCAAGTCATGTCCATTTTTATTGGATTGCCTGCCATTTTTCCTATGTAAAAATGCCTGTATAACCCATCTTTTGTTCTTCTTATTCTCTTTTCTTCTTCCTCTTCTTTCCCCTTTCCCTTCTCTTCTCTCTCTCTCTCTCTCTCTCTCTCTCTCTCTCTCTCTCTCTCTCACTCTCTCTCTCTCTCTCTTTCTCTGTGTATCATAAAGACACTGAAGTCAGAGCAACATGTTCACATAATATCACCTCAAGGTTTGACTGCATTTTCCTTAAAGCATCTTCTCAAAACTACCTATTGATTGGCATTAAGAGTTTCTTGTCACCTGCTGAATTAGCTCAAGGTTCTAGTCCTCCTGGTTCTACTAGGATCCCAATATGGGAGGAATTTCTCTCTAGAAACTTTGAAGCAAAACTACAATCATCTATGTGTGTGAAGACCATGTAGAAGATACATTTAACATGTTTGGAGCCAGAGTCAGTTATTGTGGGAGTTGATGGTGACTACTGGAGAGACCTGAGAAAAAAAAGAAAATATGCAGAAACACATTTTTTTTTTCCCTATCTGTAAACGTTGATACTATGTCCCCTTGAGAAGTTTAAAAGTTTAAGTCAGCATGGGACCAGGGTTCTCACTTTGTAAACAAGCTCCGAATGAGGAGGGCATGGATATGATGTGAGTGCTACCCCTTCCCTGGGGGCAGTGTGTGGTCTGCTTACAATCAGATGGAGGACAGAGGTTTATTCACCCCTCTTTTTGTTCTTGTTGCTTTTTCTGTCTTCTGCTGCCTTGAACTATTGCCCCAGTGTCATGCTGCCCTGTCCTGGAGTCAGCTAAGTATAGACTGAAACCTCCACAAACTCTGAGCTAAATAAGCCTTTATTTCCTTAATTTTGACCATCATGTATTTTTGTCTCAGCATTGAGAGGAAAGCAACTAAGACAGTAAAGAATCTTCTCTACTACATGACACTTTCTGTGCCTTTTCCAGTCCATTATACAATAGTATAGTATTAGTGCTTTCCTCCCACATATAAAGTATCTTTTCACTTGAGTTGTCTTGGTTGTCTCCCTCTAGTTTTCATCAAATCATCAAGACTATGTCCCTGTCCCTTCTAGAAGCAAGAACACTGCCCCCTCTAACACTTGTCCTTCTCTTAAGGACAAGTTTCCCAATTCGGTAAGTTCTTGCCTTGAATTCTAGTCAACCTTATTCACTGAATCTTTTCCTGACATTTTCTGCTATATGTGATGGAAAAAAAATCCTAATTCAAATAATTTTAAAATAGTCTATTGAATTTTAACAACAGATTTTAATAGAGTTTAACTACAAAAATAAACACCCATGCCTCACAGTATATAAAACAGTAAAAAAAAAAAAAAGTTAATTCTATTGTTTACCAACTTAGAATTCTGCCCTACACTGAATTTTATAGCATATGGCTACACTTTGTGTTTATAACTATCCCCATGAAGGTTTTAACAGTGATTATTTTCACATAGATTTTTATTCATTTACTATTTTCCCAAGAGGAAAATTTAAGGACAACAGATTTGCCTTTTCAAATCTGTCTACCAGTTACACCCTGGCTCTCTCAGGGAATTTAACATTCAGTGGTGTCCAGACTCCAATCCAGACAAATTCACATATTCTCTGAACTGTGGTATAGGCATCTCCATGTTTTTAAGGCTCTATGGAAAATTCTAACACACATCCAGAGCAGAGTACTATATCTGTGGTTAAGAATATGAATACAGTTTGTGGACAGTAAAAAAAAGTTAGAAGGTTAAGAGTCTGTACTATATGAAGGTTCAGATGCTGTATACTCAGAGGTGGGTGAGAATCCTTTCTGTAGCCCAGTCTTGGATCTTTGCTTGTCCAAATGTGAGGTAAAAGAGAAGGCCAAACATGTTGACAGCAGCAGACAGGAAAAATACATTCCTCCATCCAGACTCAGAATCCTGGACACATAGACACAAAAGCAAAATTACTAATCTCACAAGTCCCTTTCCCACCAGTTATATAGAAATGCTCTATTTTTTTTGTATTGTAATTCTGGTCACAGAGTGTTTAAGCAACAATATACAATATACACTAGGCATTGTCAAGTTATCAAAAAAGGTTCATGAAACTGTTGGAAACAAAATATCTCCAAAATATATACTGGGTTCTCAGTTGGGATGGCTGTTTGTTTAAACAGAAGTAAATTAAGCTGCATTGATGTTGTGTTTGAAATTTGGACCTCAACATTCATTCAAAGATAATGAATTATACTGAAGATGACACCATTACTATCTCATGTTTGTTTGCAGCACTAGACACCTATTACCACAGTCCATTAGGTGGATATTTCATTACACTAGGATTTCTATGTGATCTGCCCGAGTGAGCCTCCACCTGTATCACCTAGTGTATCGGTTTGTCACATTGGATTCCTAGCAATTTGATGAAAGAACAAAAAAAATGTACCAACCTTAGAACAAGCTCACATAGAGATTTATTACAAAGAAAACAAAATTTTTGCTTTGCAGTTCACTCTCCTTAATTCTTCCTTCCTTATCTGGTTCTGCCTTTCCATTCTCTTGCCCACTTTGTGTAAAACTCAACCTGTTCGTTCCCTGCAATGATTCACAGTCCTTCTCTATCCCACTTCTACCTCTCACTAGACTGGCTTTGAGACCTTAATTTTTCTTTCTGTGACTGTTTAAAAATTGGGATTAATCTGGAGAGATTCTTGTCATCTTCTTCTTCCTTGCAGTCATGGGTCATCTATCATGTTCATCACTGAGCATTCTCTCATACCTTTTAACCTTTAAGAATCCAGACATGCTGTATTCTAAACCCAAATAGCTGGTTTTCATTAATTGAACATCCCCTGGAATTTTCTTTCCCCTGGAAGCCTTTCCATCATGTTCTGACCTAGAGGTTTTCACAAGTAGATTAATTGCATGGACCATGCTCACTTCTCCCACAGACCATACCATCTTGAGAGCACAGTGAATATCTCCAATGCCTAAAATAATACCTTTCAATAACATGCCCAACCTGACTGATAAGGAATCCGGTGGTGGTAGAGGAGACAATTCCTGCAATAAGCCCGAATCCTCTTGAGATCCCCATGAGGAAACTTGCATATCTGTAGAGAAGATTTCAAACTTGGTGTTTCATAAAAAGTCACCTGTGTCATCATAACTCAGCTTGAATGAAGCTCATCTCTAATGACAAAGTCATTTGGCCTATTGCAGCTCTTCATTCACCTAAAGACCTCTGGGGAGATGGCTGCTTGCTAATCTAGAAATCACTTGTTTGCTGAGTCAAGAGAATAACTCAGAGAACTAATTCCTGTGGCAACCAAGTTTTTCTTCCCCACCACCCAGCACAGGAGGCATTTTGCACAACAAGCAGGACAAGACATAGACTCTGAAGCCAAACTTCATGGCTCCAAATCCCCCTTCTGCCCTATCTGCTCACAGGCATACCACTTAACCTCCACATGCCTCAGTCCACTCCCTCTGCCCTAGGAGGCAACAACAGAATCTGTTCAGTGTAACTGAGAGGATTAGATGTGTCGATTCTGAGAAATTTTTAGCATTGGAGTTGGCTCATAGGCAGTAGCTAATATGATCAGCCCCACAGAAACTTCTAAAACACCTGTCTATAGGCCCTTTGCCAAAACATACAGTCTAATCTCTAGTCAAAAAGCCTGAGAAACAGTTTTATCTAAATGGCCAGTAGGCAGGAAAGGGAAATGTAGTTCTAAATGCCACCTTAGGTCATGGCCATGTACTGACATTTCTGTTACTTGTCATTCTGCCATCATTTAGTGCATGTTGCTAACAGGAAGGTTTTCTTTTCTATGGTGATGATCGAGTACCTCTGAGAGATCTGGCAGAGGGAAACTCAGGTAAAGCTCTTACCTGGGAGCAACATCTAGGGTGTTGATGATAAACCCTGAGTCACACAGGTTACTGGTCCCAGGAATAAGTATCAGCAAAATAATGGTTGTCACGTAACTGGATGCCACAAAGGGCAGGGCTACAGCACAGAGTGATGGAAGGAGGAGACCTGGACAATGAGGACAGGATGTCAGGGGCACCCTACAACCCTGTAGGATTGGTTGACTGAACCCACATATTTATCCTTACCTAAGGATGAGAAGAGTTTTCGCACTCCAATTAAGCTGAGAAAATTCCTGGACAGAAGCAAGTCTGCCAACTGACCTCCTAAAATTGTACAGCTAGCAGCAGCAACAAATGGCAGGGAAGACAGAACCCCACTCTGAGAGAAGGAAAATTACAGAGTAATTACAGAGATGCATAGGACACCAGTGTCTTTCAGTGATGCAGACCAACCATCAGCTGTGGGGATACCTCTGCATTCTGAGATGCTGGAAGGAAACTAACATCCTTTACCATGGAACAGCATGGTCTCAGCACTTGCATTGTACTAGAGGGAAGCTACATGAACTTCTAAGGGAGACTTTAGAACCAGCTAGTGTGGCAGTAAGGAATAGTGGTCAGAGAGGCAATGCAACTCTACCCCTTAGTAACTGTGTGACCCAAGGCCAGTTCCTTGCCTCTCAGGGTCCCATTTCAATATCTGTGAAATGGAAGTTGTTACAATGCCTCTCCATGGTCATTATGAAAGTTAAATGAATGGTTATATGCAAAGCTGGAATTCAATAGACAGCACAGAACAATTGTCATTCTCATCAGTTCTATAGAAATATAGGAAGTACACTTACGTCTCTTATGTTAACATGGAGTACAGTATTGATGTACGTCGGCAGGTATGTGATGATGATGGTGCATAACCAGAAATGGCTGAAAAACCCAGTGAAAATGGCCCAAAGTGGTAGGCATCTGACCATAGCCTTTATGGGCACAGATCGTCTGGGAGAACTGGGCTGAAAGGAAATAGCTAATCAATATAGATTAGAACAGGCCAGAGACTGCCTCTCCCAGGGGAAACATGCCCTTCCCTGGAGATGTCTGGGTGGTCCATGGGTTGAAGGAGTGGGCACACTGTACCTGCTGAGCCAGAGAGGACACAATGTGCTCCTTTTCCTTGGCACTTATGCATGGATGATGCATAGGGTCATCATAAATCATCATATACCACAGTAGACAGCAGATACAGCCAATGCTACCTGCGAAGTGTGGACACAGTAAGTTTTTAGGTAGATCTGTGTACTGGGGAAGCAAAACTTCTGAAGTGTTCTTTCTTTACCACACATCACTTTATAATTATTTCATCTGAATAAATGATTTTTTCATCTGAGTAGATCTAAATGTTCTCATTTCTTCCTTTTCATCTTATGAACTTTTTCCTTTCATCAAAGCTTTTCAGTTATCACCTTTCAAACTCTGAAATGCCTTTATTAATGTCAGAGCCCTGAGCATGGAATATGGCATTGTATGGCTCATTGATTGCTCTTAAGATTCCATTTTTATAGTATTTTGTGTTTTCCACTGTAACTTCTTAATAAGTTCATTATTGTCTTGTTTTCCAAGTGCTGAATTGTCATAACAGAGGACAAAAAGCATTGACATACATGGGACAACTAGCCATGAAGTCAGCGTGACAAGGAAAATGTCCATCCCATTTGTGTTCAAACCACAAATAATATCCATCATGGATTCTCTGATGGAATATTTCTGATCACACTCCATTAACATTTGTGAAGCAAGATGGCTGGGATTAGCATCATTAATGATAAAACAGCTGAAACTAAATTTAATGACACTATTTGACTATAACAATAAAAACTTGTAGAATTTTGCCTAATTACTGAAATTTGTCATTTAAAAAACATTCTATATTAAAATATTTTGGGGACTAATGGTTTTTAAATTCCCTTTATAACTAGATTCATCCATCTTTTAAAGTTAAAATGCAAATGTTATGATGCTACTAAAGTGATAAAAACTATATGATTGATTTCTTGCCTCAAGAATTTCATAGTCTCATGGAGAGATGAAAAGGAGAAATAAATGAAAGCACATCAACATAACTTAGAAAGGAATTATCAGTAAGATTACAGAAGAGGAGATGCATAAATCTGTTAGGATAGGTTCGGAAAGATCCCAAGGAGAAGGGGACATTTGACTTGATCTTTGTAAGCTTCACTTGGTAGAGAATAAGTTAAAGTTATCCTAGGTAGAATTAATAATTATAGAATACAGTATGAAAACATATTGAAGGTGTACTCAACCAACTTTGACATTTTAACTGTGTACATTTGATCACTAGGCCAGTTACTTCAGATGTGATGAGTCTGTGAAGATTCTGAGGGCATAAATTTAAGCTTCCACTACTTATTTCCCAGAAGTTGGCAGCATAAGAAGGTTTATCTCCTCTGCCATGTATATGTGGATCCTCAAAACCACCAGAAAGTATTATGTCAACTTGGGTGGATTACATTCTGAAAGATACCAAAACTCAAATTCTTCATCCATTTGACAAAGGACTTTTTTCTATTAATACAAGGGGGATAAAACAAATCCCTGGGCAGTGATGGTGCTAAGGTTTCAGAGAGTGACTCACCAAAGATGTAGAAGATGAAAGGCCATCCCAATGCCTGTGAGATTAGTCCACCCACACAGAGAATAATGAAAGACCCAAATGCTGCCCCTAAAGAGAACAAAAAGAAGAACAGTTATGCAAATAAGAAAGGCTAATGCTATGTGATCTCCACTGAGGTGGCAGACACAAAATTAGTGGGGTAACGAGAGTATTTGCCTCTACCCACAGTTCCTCTCAGAATATCATAGAGAGTAATTAGCTTTAGTAAATAATTGCTATACGCCACCCAACTCTTCAATGCTGCCTCAGGACCAGTGTGATCTACTTTAAATCCCTTAATTTATCACAGAAACTGCAATCACAGAATCACCTTATGACACGATGCAATAAGAGGTTTAATGGAGAAACGTAGAGATTTATAAAAATTAATAAAGAACTGCCCTGCCCTTCAAGAGCTTTTGGTCTAGTAAAAAAAAAAATTCACTATCACAAGTGTAACACAGTAAACCTTGGAATCTATATTAAAACAACAATAACATTTTACAGACTCACATTATAAATACATTTTCCATGGTAAAACAACACAAGAAAAACATGCACAAACACTTGTACACAAAACCACATGCCTCAAACAATTTCACAAGTGAACACTTAGCTTTGTTATGTGTAAAGCATGCCAAAATTTTATATTATGTTTTCTTTCTAAATACTGCTTTCTCTACCCAAATTAATTTTATAACCCATTAATATGTCTAGTCTTTGAAAAAATGTGGATTCAAACATGATAGTATCATTTCTATCCTTTTTTTTCTGTTTTGTTTTTTAAAATAAAAAAGTAAACTGTGCTATGGAAATGCACATAAAGATACATTAATTATGATTATAAGATTAGAGAGTTGCTATATGAGTTAAGAGAATAACATGGCAAAAAGAGTGTGGTAGGAAGCTTTTCAGGGATATGAACCCATGGGAAGAGAGGCTGCGGGAATGAATGCAGGTATGTGGGGAACAGTAAGTCTTGGTTACAAAGAGAAGCTGAATAGAAAGGAGGTGGTGACCAGATGGTAGAGCATCTTGATATCTACACAATAAGGAGCCACATTGAAATCTTAAGCAGGTGAGCAAAATGTCCTATCTATGCTTTAAGAAGATAAGTTGCATTTGATACGAAGAGAATGTTGACAGAAACCAGCCTCGAGGAGAGAGACCACCAGGAGCATTTGGAGATAGAGGTGGTGTTGGGAGGAAGAAAGCAGGAGGCTGCTGAGAGGTAAAAGGCCACATGACGTGGCTGTGTGTAGACATGGAGTAAGAAGCTTGCTGAGATCACTGCTTTTGCTCTTCGAGTATGCAATCTGGGGAAATCAATGGAGTACGATTCTAGTGGCCTTGGGAGGTGCACCATGGAGAACCATCCAGCACTATGACTGTGAGTGAGGACTCTTAAGACCAACCAAACTGCCTGGGTTTCAATTTCAGTTCCATGTCCTCCTGGCTGTTTGCATTTGGATTATTTACTTAATCTCTAAATTCCATAACTTTCCTCCTGGAAAATAAGCCCAAACTAGTTTTTACATAAGAGAGTTGTGAAACTTTATTAGCTCTGAGAAAGAAAGAGCTCAGAATATGGCAAATCCTTTGAGCTCTACTTTTGCCTAATAGTCTTAAGTTTTATGTTAAAATCTTTGCTATAATTATGTTTATGTAGCTCCCTTGACTTTTCCATTATGCAATTCTTAATGTTCTAAATCTTCTCTTACATGGCTGTTTTAATTGCCCCAGTTCACTATTCTCTTTTTTGCTCTGTATCTTTACAACGGAGATATCATGGTTATGTAGCTGGCTTATATCACTGAGTTTTTCAGCAGCACCTTTTTATCCTCTTCCCCAAGCTTTCTGATTCATAGGAGAAAAGATGTGGAAGGATAGAGCCTAATCCAAAACTGTTCACAACCATGACCATCCTTACCTGATCCTGCAATGCTGGTGAGTTTGCTCCGTTCAAGTGGAGGAGCCCATTTTGCCCAAATTGTAAACTGTCCTGTCCATGCCATTCCCTGGAATGAAAATCATGAAGACATTTGTTCTTTTGCAGAACTTGGGGATTCATATCCCACTCAGATTGTGAAAGTGCTTGGATACCTGGGCCATGCCCTGCACTGTCCGAATCACAATGACCAAAATCACTCCGAAGTCAGCAGCCACAGGGGTAAAGAGGGTGAGAAGGGAAGAGACCAGCAAACCGGCGCCAATCATCTGTTTTGCTCCAACTATCCCTGCTAAATATCCACTTGGGATCAGCGTCAGTATTATTCCATAGCTGATGGAGCTGAAGATGATGCCCTGGGTCTCTGGGCTCCACTGATACACAGATGCCTGGAAAAAATAAGAAGAAAAACTATTTGCTAAGTGGTCATTTTATGAAAATCTAATGTCTGTAGCATTTCTGGGGTTAGTGAGATTCTCTTACAAAACATCTATTTTAATTTTTCTGTATTTATTTTTTACCTTAGTTTACCTTTTCCAAATGAACAACCAAGTACTCCTCCAATTTGACTCTCTCAGAAGGTAAGAAACAGGAAATAAAGAAAGGAAATGAATAATTACATAAGATGAATGACAAAAACTAAGTAGAGAGCTGTCAAGAAATAGCTTACTTGTTGAAGAACACCCTTCAACAATTTAGTAAAAGTTGGGTGATAATGACTCTTATTTGAAAGAATAAAATATAAACAACTCTCATGCACTCTTACCAAAATCAACCCCTAACTAAAAAGAAAAATCATACTTGAGAATTATGATCTCCCTTGACAGAACCACGCTTCAAAGATATATTTCAAATGAATAAGATCATGTCTCCTTTCTGATATAACCCAATAAACACTTTTGGGTAGTCCTGAAGATATATGGCATCATATTATAAATTAGTTAGTCAAAGAATATAAGTTAATAAATCTTTTGTCTATTTAAAGAACTATAAAAATACAAGGTACACAATTTGTATTAGAAATTTACTATTTGAGGATGAACAAATAAAATAGGGATTTTGAGAAGAGGAAAGAACAATTTGAGAAGATTCCAGGAGGGAAGCAGTATGAGAATCATCCTTTGAAAAATAAGTATAATATATAAATTATATTAGAATATAAGAATATAATAATGTAATATAATATGTTTCATATAAGAACAGAAAAAAACAAAATTCATTCTTATCAGACAAAACAATAAAAATGAACTTGCAGCATTGAAAGGATAGGAAACAATCAAAGTAGCTGGCTCAGAGCCCTTTCCCTGGGGGTGTGCTGAGAAGCAGGACCACACTCTAGAGCCCCAGAGTGTGTGAAGGGAACACAACATGCTTGGCAATGTGAAGGATTCTTGAGCACAGAAGTAATGATAGATAAACTGTGCCTAATATAATAAAATGACGAATTACAAATTACAGGGATGACATTGGAAATGTGTAGTACATGAGAGATGGTTTAAGCAGGGTTCCAGAACCCCAGCCTTGTCAGTTGTCTGTTAGGAAGAGAGCTGCACACCCAGAGGTGATCAATGGGCAGTAAGTGTGCAGAGGAAAACTTTGTTTTTATAAGAACTCCTCAGCCTTCCCATTACTGCCTCATCAGCAAGGAATTTGGATTCTCACAGGAGCATGACTCCTACTGTGAGCTGCATGTACAAGGGATGTAGGTTACTCACAATTTATGAGAATCTAATATAATAATAGTAGAAATAAAGTGACAATAGATGTAATCAATGCATCCAAATTATCCCCAAACCATCATATTCTCTGCTTCCCCCAGCCCACTGTAAGGAAAAATTGTCTTCTGAGCAACTGTTCTCTAGTGCTATAAAAGTTGGAGACCATGGGTGTTAAACAGAGATGTCAGTGAACTCATTGACTAAGGGGCATTAGTAAATATTCCAACTGATTCAAAGGAGAATTTAGAGAAGCACATGTATGTAAACAGGAAGTAAAATGGAAATGGGTTTTAAAGCAAATGGATTTATCTGTGGCCAAAATGTCTAGTGAAATAAATCAGACACATAAGCTTAAATATTGTATGATGTCTCTTATATGAGAGATTCAACTTGTCAATGAAAAGAAAAATACAAGAGAGATAGCAGGAAGTAGGAAGATAGATCTTTCTCAAATTGAAAGAAGTCATAAGATAGCGGGAGATGATAGGAAGGGAAAGGGGATGGAACAAGGAATTGGGAATGTGTGCATGTGCTATGTACCATCTCCACACCTGAAATGACAACATTATGCACTGCAAACATGCATTAACAGACAATAAATAAAGAAAAATGTATTCACAGAAAAGTAGGTAGGTAGATAGATAGATAGATAGATAGATAGATAGATAGATAGATAGATAGAAATACTGACTTGTTAATTATGCTGAGACCCAGGAATGGAGGAACACATGATTTTGCTCAGGACAGAATGCACCTGCAAAGCTATAGACAGGAGTCATCTGTGTTTCTATTAATTACACAGAATTTTCAGGGTTGTGAAACAACTCAGAAACAATAAAAATGCAAAGATTCAAATGTAATTGGGTAACCCAGAAGGATAGTTTTTCACTGGTGACACCCGGTAACCTATTTGTTCCATTTTAGAACAATCTTTACTATTTTCTACAGTTTCCCCACATGATAATTTTAAAAAACCTCAATGAAAGGTTATCATGATCACAAAGACAATCAATTTCTTGAAGAAAAATAATTTCAACCCTTTTTTATTTTATCACTGAAAATTAATGCTTTTATACTCTGCAAAATCAAGATCAAAGCCTTCCTTTCAAATCATTTGCTTCTCTAACTCACTTACCCTCATTTTAAATTCCTCGTTGGACCTGTTTGGGTGGTAGAGGGGGTCTGTCAGAGACCACTCAGTGGAAGCATTGGCTGGATCTTGTTGCTGGGTGCTGTTCACCATGGCAATGATGGCAATGCTCAGACTCACGCGCTGGGTGATCATGGTGAAGTTTGAGAAGTGCATGATGAGAGCCAGTGCGTAGCGCAGTGAGCAGAAATCTGTACCTGGATCATAAAGAGTAAGCAGTGAGCTCCTCATTGAGATACTTCTTTCTGCTTCTCCCATAGCTGAATCTGAATGTACTTTGAAAGTTACCGTATGGTCCCACTGTTCTTTTTCATTTCTTTCTCAAGACTCATTCCATTGCTTAGATCTCAGCATTTACTGATTATTTGGCTTCATTTCTGATAGATTTATCTAATAGAGAAATCCTTTTTCTAAGGAAAAAACAGCCATTGACAGGATTACAGGCTGGAGCTGGTCCTGAAGCTCCACTAAGAATTTCTCCAAGGACCAGCATGGGGGACGCAGAGGAAGAGGAGAGTACTAATGCAAGAAGACCACTGGCCTACCTTTCTCGGAGGAAGGCTTCGTGTCCATTTGGCTTCTCCAGGAAGTGGTACCACACTTTGCAATGGAGTTTGCTACTCCACTAAATTTCTCTTATCAACTCAGGCTTTTATCTATGGTGAGAATATAACCCAAAATATGACTCACAAGTCTTTATTCTTGATATGGTTGCCTCTTGTCATCATCAGTAGAAATTTTGACTCAATACAGCTGTATTATTTGCATTTTCCAGTGCACTTTTTCTATGCTTTTATTAGATTGTACTTTTAGAAATATCAGTATAAATCCTTAGACCTAGTCACTTAAATTCCTTAGCTACCAGTTCTTTCATATACACAGTAATAATAAAGCTCCTTTCTAAGTAGTACTGTAAAAATTAAAGAAAGAAAATTGAAAGGTTTTATCACAGAGAACCATGCAAAGGTAGGAAGTATCAGTTTGTAGTAGATGTGAGATGGGCATTTAAGCCCAAGAGCAATGCTTTTTGTTTTTTAAATTCTTACCATGTTTCTCTTTCCTTAGGACAACTGGAACACTGTTCCATGGTGTTTTTGAATATTGAAGAAGTGGCTCTACATTATTTATATAAATTATATATAAAGGTTTAAGATGTTGTTTGCAAACACAAGTTGGACACCTTACTGTGCAAACGTCTTCAATCACCTATGAAATTATACTGAGTAGGGTTTTCAACTACAATAATAAATATAAACCTCGCTCTTTTGACAGGCTGAGAGAATTCATGATCCCCAAAATGCACATATTTAGTTTTATATTTACACATTAATCAAACTCTCCTTGGATATATGCATATCTTTTAGGAAAAAATCTCTATCCTAAGAATATTTTCAATTTTGTGTTCATTCCTAAACTGAATGACTTTAAAAACACTTGTATCATATCTTTCTTATCTATGTCCCAATATTTGTACTCTTTCTATACTTAAATTAAAGGAGACTTATTTACATCCTTAATTTATGACATTAGGATATGACATTAGGATTATGACATTACATCCTTATTCTATGACATTAGGATAGAACAGTTTTAGGAAAGAAACAGATAAAGATTGTTTTCCCAAAACATCTATTGTTGTATAAGTTATGATGGGAAAATATTGTAGACAAATTCAACTAACTATAAGTCAGTTTTGCAAGTCAATTTGGATAGATTTTTGTTATGAAGTCTGTTAGAATAGTGCTTTCAAGGATATAGAAATAAAATTGGGGAAATCTTCATGCTGTGAATACAGAACAGGATGCAGTGTGCCCATTAATGTACAAAGGAACAGACTCATACAAGCATTTGCAGTGGCTTTTTCTGAACTACAGAACAGGATGGGCATATGATTATTTATGATTTTTCTGTATTTATTAAGTTTTTAAAACAATTAGTAAATACTCACTTAGTATCCAGAAGAAAGTAAATCGTGATTAGGCTTCATCAACATGGTCAGAGTATTTTTCTGTTTACCAAATAGCTCAGAATTCTGAGAATAGTGTCTCTCCATCTGAGGTTTGCAATTCTCACCTCTGTTGACAATGGTCCCACATCAAGGTTGCACTACCAGAAACAGGAGATCAGACAAGGACAGATGTTGGCTGGTTTTGGAGGGTTCGTAGGTTGTGCTAGCATCAGGATATTATCAGAGGTTAGTCCATGTCTCTGTACTCTGATCTTAGCAAAGATCTGAGCCCAAACTTGGAATTTCATCATTTGCTGTTTGATTTCTCATGTTATATAAGAACCCATGACTTGGAAGAAACCTACCTTTTGACTGTACATACTATGACCACAATTGTACTACACTTAAGGCCTTCCCATCAACTTCTACAATGACTTATAAATGCTGGGTACTTAAGCTGAAAGAGACCAAGAGATCCTCTGACCCAAATGTTTGTTTTACAGAAGAAGAAACTAACGTGCAGAAAGCTTGAAGAGCTACCTCAAGACACTCAATTCACAGAACCAGCGCCAGGTATTGTAATGCCTGGAGTGCTGCTTTTTCTATCTATTCATGCTATTTCTTTATTTCCTTAGCACTGTAAGTATAAGCTCAAAACACCAATAGGATTGCTACATTTTAATGTGTTCTAGTTGAAAATTCATATAGCTTTAAATTAAGTTTTGATCTTTCACTCTAGCAGTTTGATGATGAATTTGATGATGAAATTTGATGATGAAAAATACTTTTAAATTAAGTTTTGAATGTTTAGCAAAAATCCTACTTTTTCTTGCTTTTTTGCTAATGGGATTGTATCATCCCTATTACTTCAGTTTTCCTTCCTGTTCTCTTTTGCTATCTAAAGGGGAGGGGTAAGAAAACTCTACTTTTGTGTTATAGTTTCACCTATTTAAATTTGTCTCAGTAGATTTCAATTGTTTGTTTTCTGATCCTTTGCATGAGAAAAATACAGAAATCAAGATAATATCCATTCTAAAATGGAATGTTTCTGTGACATAGTAATGGAAAATATTGATCACAGGAGCTTGTGAAATTATGGAATCTGAGCACCAGAGTGATTAATATGCACCTAGAGATAGCATGATAATTTATAGTCTAATAACAAACCACTGAGAACATGAATTTTGTCAAAGACCTTCACATTCAAGGCTGATGATTCAAAAAACAAAGCAATACAAAATCCTAGTGTCAAAGCTGTAAGTAGACAGAGCAATTGAAGTGAAATTATGAGAAAAAAATTTTACATATAGAATGTAATATTCTGACACAGTAGAGGATGTGTCTGAGATAAAATTAATAATATAGACTTGTTTTATTCAAAGCTAAAGAATGACACTTTCGCTGCTCTTAGTCTAGAACTCAGATTTTTTTTTTTTAAAAGTGGCCTTTCTACTCTATATTTCCCCCGATATCCAACCTGTCTTGCATCATCTGTGCAAATCGAGGCCCCTGGTTTACTTAGGGTGAATTCAAAGTTCAAAGACCATCAATCTGCAGGCCAGAGTGAACTCTAGGCCTGGGTTCCACATTGCCACTGCTGATCCATGTAAACCTGAGGGAGTTTCATAAAACTCCTCAAACTTCAATTGTCTCATAGGAGAAATGGGATAATATTACTTCATAAGACTATTTGGAGTGAAAACAAAGGTATATGACATGCCTTGTGCACTGTAAAATATTATTCCTGTAAAAGGTAATTGATGCTAATAACAACAGTAATAACAACAGCCACCTTAGTGCTTGGGCCCTTATAGGCCCATGAATAAGTACAGGCTTACAGCAAATAAAAGGTGTTTTGATTGGTTGTTAAATTGGTTTTAAAATTTTTCTTTTTAAAAATGGATTTTTCTATACTGGCATCTATAGGGCAGGAGAGTTTATCTTGTCACCAGCATCAGAGGACACAGGAAGAAGGATTCTGCAGTGTGAGTGGAACTGAGGCCCAGCCTGCCTTGCTGGAAGATCTGTAGTTCTGGTATAAAATGGGTTATTGCAGCATCTAACCTAATGGCACACTGTTAATTCATTTATGGCTGAATCATGGCAAATGATGGTGTCCTGAGCACTCACAGTGGGTGACTGGAAACGAACAGAGTTATATCAAAGTTAACTTGTAATTACAGCAGACCCTTGAGTCTTTTCCTCCAAGCAAGAACTGAGTCTTTGTAAGCAGCATTTTCTATTGGTGGGTTTGGAGGTGATACATTTATGCCTCTGCCCCTTGGGTTTCCTGTCACATTGCTAAAAGGTGCTAATGGATGAGCCCTGGAAGCACACACATTTCCTTGCCCTCATTCTTATGACCTCCTTCATGTTTTCCCTTTCTTGTGAGCTGAATTCAAATACACATAGATATCTGAAAAGGCCATCAGTCACTGTCCCAGACCCAAAGCTTTCCACCATTTAATCCCACATTTTTGTCAGGAAATGATCTCCCTGTCCTCACAAGCCTTGCTCTATGTATTGATAGAATCAGTCACCTTTTTTTTTTCTTTTAAAGAGGGTAAAATTAAACACAACAAAAACCTAAGAAAGCCATGTAAGAGACATAAATTTCAAAGCAAGACAATCAGAGATCTTTACTATCTATTGCATTCTCTCTTGTTTTCTCCCAAATAGTTGTCCATGTCTTTACATACAGAGAATTCGTATTCCCTCTACTCAGTCACCTTTTTAAGACAGTCTCTTCTTCCTTTTGAAACCAGATCCCAACCCCAATGGAGATCCTTACGCTGCAGACAATGTTTTTCCTCTTAGTGCCTCTGAAGCATTTCCCTCTCCCAAAAGATCTTTGAGAGACTTGGAATTAGCATCCTTCCCCAAAACAAGAACAAACTTACCTTCACCATTAAACCAGTAATGAAGCCCTTGACTATAAGTCCCCTTGCAAAACCAGAGTGTTTCTTCTTCACTTTCAGATAATTCTGCAGGATTTCACAAGGATAAATAATGAGCCACTTGGTGACCAGACAGCAACCAGGTTTGACCTCATATTCTCAGAGCAGAGAGGGTGGATTTGGCTTTGCTGCTTAATTTTTAACTTCATTTTCAAGTTCTCACTGACAGAGTCAGTATCAAATGATGTCATGAGGTTTATTTGCCTTGACTGTGCATACAATCATTCAGTCAACAACCATGCCTTAAAGGAGGGTGGCATGGAGTGACAGAGGGGGTGGGGGTCTTGAGGCTGGAGAGACCAAGTCAATTCTTTGTGGCTCCCAAGTATTTCCTGTGATCTCAAAAAAGTCATTTTCCCTTCTTAAATTGAGTCCTGTATTGGTAAAACAACAGTTTAGAGACACAAGTCATGAAGTTAGTGGATAATTGATATCAAGTACATTTGCTCGATTCCCTTAGATAGGTGTTCTATCACAGTTCACCCCATCAGACTCTCCCAAAGAACCTATTGCAGTCAACACCTGAGCCAGGCCACTGAATCCCTATGTTAGGTTTTTATTGCTGCTGCATAAAGTTCTACAAACTTGATGGTAGCTTATAGCATTGTACATTTGTCACGGAGCTCAGAAGTCCAAAGTGGATCTCACTAATTCAAAATCAAGCCATTTACAGGTCTGTGGTCCTTCTAGAGACTGTAAGGAAAAAGCTGTAAGCCATTTCTTTAGCTTTTTCAGCTAGCCGTGGTCACTTGCATTCTTTGGCTGTTGGCACCTTCCTCCGTCTCTTTTTCCTCTTCATTCTTTCCTTTTCCTTTTTCTTTTTGAAGGTAGTAGGGATTGAACCTGGGACCTTCACTCTGGGGTCCATTCCTAGCTCCTCCTTTTTAAAATTTTGAGACAGGGTCTCACTAAGTTTAAGTTTCTACATTACCCAGGCAGGGCTCAAATTTGTGATCCTCCTGCCTCAGTCTTCCAAAGTGTTAATTACAGATGTGCATCTCTACAGATGTGTTCCATCTGTAAAGCAAGGTGTTGACACCATTATATCTTTCCCTCTCAACCTGACTTGCTCCTTCTTGGAAGAAGCCTTATGTGTAAATATACAGTATAATCTTCCCAATCCCTTTTGTCATGTAAAGTAATACAAAGACAGATTCTATGAATCAGGACACAGACACTTCTGGAGCAATATATAGCATGCCATAGTTCATCCTTGAAGGAGAGAGTAAACAGGGAGAAATGAACTTACTTTCTGTAATTAAAACTTATGATAGTCGATTTATAGTCATCACATACCTGATCAGATGATGAAAATAGTCAAGAAGATAAATGTCGTTTTCATTATCTTCTCAGGACGTGGGGAAATATTTTCAAGATTTGTGCCAAGGCATGGCATAATCTAATAACAACTCTAAAAGAAAAAGGAACTAGGAGTAGTTTCCCACTGTAAGAACAAATGCATTAAAGGAGTGCTTGAAAGTGCCCAGTGCTATAGCAGGTACTGAATGCCTTCTTCAAGCTGCATGCTTTCTTTTAACTGCATAGTCCCATGTTGGATCTTGTAAAATCTCCAAAGTATCATGTCTGCAGTTCTCAGCACATCTGGCATGACTTATGTACTATAGTCTGAATGTTTGCACTCTTCCCTCTCTACATGCATATCGAAAATCAGAACCCACAAGGTGATATGTCAGAGCCTTTGTAAATAACTAGATCATGGAGGAGCCAGCATCAATGGGATTTATGTCCTGAAAAAAGGAGTCTCAGGGGAATTCATTCAACTCCTCTGCCATGTGAAGACAGAGCAAAAAGGTAGTATGTGTTCAATACATAATAGTTCACTGAGTGAATAAACTTGCCATCAATAGTTAAGATTTCTGTATCTAGGGGCTGGGGATTTAGCTCAGCGGCATAAGCGCCTGCCTTGCAAGCAGGCAGTCGTGAGTTCAATCCCTGGTACCGATAAAAAGGAAAAAGACAAAAAAAAAAAAAAAAAAAAAGTAAGTTAAAGATTTCTGTATCTAGTCCAAACCTCTAATTCTATCATGAATTTCATGTAACAAAATTTAATAAATCAACTCTGTAGACTTAAAAATATTTAAATATGCTACATCTGTGACATTTATAAATATCAAGAATAACAAAGCAGAAGTTTGGAAATCCTTAAAAATTTAGATCTTTCTGGTCTGACATAAATGATTCTCTATTAGTTCTTCAATTGTATACTTGTGTGTGTGTGTGTGTATGTGACTATGTTTCAGACAATACACTTAGCTTCTGAGAATATCAATTTGTCTAATATCTGGCTCCTGACTCTACAGAGTGCAAAGTCTATATACAGAATCAGATTATTCGGATGAAGGGCAATAAACTATAGCAACAGGAGCCTACAGAGGTGCTAGGGAAGTATAAATGAAGGCCCTACCAACAGCAAGCACCCTGGGGATGCTTCTTGGGAGAGACAGAGCTGGATCAATTTCACCATGTGAATGAGCCAGTCAGTAGGGGAAGGACCTTCCAGAAAGCATAAAGCTATTTATCAAAGCTCTGTGTGGGGAATTAGAATTGTTCAACATCACTGGGGATCAAAGTGCAAAAGTAGAGGAAATTTGGTGAACCGACTGGAAACTTGAGAGAAGATTTTCAAAAACTCAGTTGCTTTTCCCAATAGGAGACATAACTTTCTCAAAAGAGAAATGGAAAAAAGCTTGAATGTCCCCTGACAACAATAACTAGAAAAGTTTTAGGTATTTTTTTGACAAGACAATAAAATGTAAAGTAGAAAAAATTATTAAAGAATATATAAAGAAAGATCTTGTTAAATAGACAAGACAATAAAATGTAAAGTAAAAAAAGATTATTAAAGGATATATAAAGAAAGATCTTGTTAAAAGGATATATAAAGAAAGATATTTTTGGATGGAAAACTTATTACATAAAGATATTGATTCCTCCTAAATCAATAAACAGCATTCTGTAAACACTGGACAAAAAGAAAGGATATGGAAGGACAAAATGGAAATGGCCTAAACATCCATTTGTAGGAGCCTGAGGGACACATCCCGGGGAGACCACAGGTCCTCACAGCAGAGAAGGAAGCAACAGCTAAGCAGAAGGAGTCACACCTCTACCACTGAACTTTTGTATCATGTAATGCAATTTCAAGTGAGTAAAGCTGATAGAAAATGCACAGAAAGGGACCTCATGTTTTCTAAATATTTTCCCCAAAGGTCGTATGAACCAGATCAACTGCCAACTTGGGTGGCTTAGCAGGTTTAACTAACTAGTAGGTGTTAAAAAGTTGGAAGATTAAACAAAATGATGAATACTTCGAAGTAATATTTATGTACTATGTATGTAAAACTATGTGTATGTCTAGCTATATGTGTGTGAATATACACAGGTACATATTATTTGTCTATGTGTGCATGTATATATATTCATAAGTCTACATGTACATGAAGAAATTATTCATATGGGAAGGAGAACTAGGGAGGGGCAGGAGGAAATCAAGGGAAAGAAAAATGAAAAAAGAAGGATAAAATAGAAACAAAGTTTTGTAAATAAGGAGGGAAAAGGAAGAGAGGGAAACAGGAGTGGAAAAAAGACAAATCAAAGTAGGTCATGCACAGTTACAAATTCCCTATGATGAGTGTGATCATTGTTTAAACCTAAATTCTGCCAATAAACAACTAAATTTTAAAAAAGATAATTCAGTAGAAAAAAAAAGTAATTGGGAACCATTAAAATGTTTTTTGTTTTTTTTTTTTTTTTTTTCCTTTCCGGCACCAGGGATCGAACTCACGACCACCTGCTTGCAAGGCAGGTGCTTATGCCACTGAGCTAAATCCCCAGCCCCCATTAAAATGTTTTAAGCAGGAGAGGGATATGATAGGATTGATGTTTTTAAATCACTTCATGTGGCATAAATGTCTGACATATGGAAGTAAAAACACCTCTAATTGAAAAGTAGATTCTGCTAAAAAAAAAAAAAAAAAATGAAATGTGGGAAGCACGGAATTACCCAGACTTTTGTTACTGACAAAACCCAATACAGACAAGTAGGGATGAAGGCAAAACAAGAGATGAAACCCAAAAGTTTCACATTGTTCTGTATTAATTCTCTACTTGAACATACAAAATTTACCAATCTATCTAGATTGGTACTACCACTGAGATAGAAAGAAGTTGGTAAATTAAGATAGTGTAAGACTAAGATCCTTAAGAAAACATCAAAATCTGACTTAGGTTCACAAAAGTATTCCAAAGGGATCACTAAGTGATCACTAACCATTTCCACCAGCTTAGGCTGCATGATACTTGGGTGGAGTTTTTGATCTCTGGATCTAATCTGACCCACACCGGAAGCACCATGAGTGATTTCATCTAGTTACTCAAGGCAAGAATTTCTCTCTGCCTTCTCCCAGACTCACATCCTTGATCACAGACCTCAAGAGTTTAGACCATAGCTGGCAACAAGAGGCAAAAAAGGACCAAACTTAGAAAAGAGCAGCTCTTGGGTTTTTTCATTTCTATCAAGTTTCAGGTAATGTTAATCCTGATAAATTTGATTCACTGCTACTTTGTACTGAAATTCTCTTATGCTCTCTACTATTGCTTTACTCTTTAATATATATCCCAGTAAAAAAATATTTAGTCTGGATTTTATTTCGTCAATAATTTTCTTTTTTTCAGTGTCCATATTTTTCCCTACTATGTCCACGTTTTTAAAAAATGTAACTTTTCTTCTGTAATATCTATTTCAGTTGCATAATTTGCCCATGTTAAGTGCAATTCCTTCATTTATTTCCTTGAACATCCTAAACACACTTTCATCTTCAAAATTATTTTCATCTAAAATAAATTCATTTTCCATTAGTTGAGTTTTATTGCTGTATTTCAGGTTTAAATTTCCTCTTGAATTTTGAAATTCTGGTGTGCCCACTAAAGTTTGATATTTTTGGTTTGTTTTCTCTCTTCTTTTTTTAAAATTTCCCTTCTCTTCCCTTTCTTCTTCAGGCCTTACACTATTTAGTGAGTTTTGCATCTCTTCTACCTAGTACTCAGGGCCAAATGGAAAAATCAAGACAGATATTGCCCTGTCATTCTTAGTCTCTTGCTGTGTGA